AGTCTGGCAACAACCACCCCAAAGTCTGGCAACAAACTTATGCAACGCCAAATAGAACCTTGCCGTTTTGGGACGTTAAACCCCACATATCAAACTAGATAAGGAAGCATTCCCATAACTAGCGACCTGCACAAGTCCGTCTGGTACCACTGTGCTTTTATTTATTGTATCTGTTTTTCGCTGCTCTCGACACGTTATGGGCGACTGTACGGGAGAAAAAGCGAGGATCGCCAGCCTCACGGCCTGCCTTCTCGCTCTGGAAAGCGAGGCAGACGCTGCAAAAGCCGCCAAGGAGAGGATAAAGCAGCGCAAGACCGAGCGTCACCACGTGATATTGCCGACGCGTTGTAGCTGCTTACGAGAGTAGAAAAGGAAATAACCATTAAAAGAGTTCCTTACAGCTTCTGCAGGATATGAAATTTGTTTTTACAAAGAGTTTTGGTGACAAAAAAATAGGCATTTGCTCTTTTTTTCCCACCACTCGAAAATTGCTGGCGCCCACTGGTTTCGAGGCTACTCATTCGGAGCCGTAAAAGAGATCGACAAACGCCGCTTACGAAAAAGGCCGCTTCTGAAAAGAAGTTCCCTCTGTGCCGTGTGTCTGCTGTCAGGAACTCCTTTTCGGAAAAAGACCGCTTTTAAGTGCCCGTGTGACAGGGGTATCAAAGTGACACCTATATCCCCTGCACATTTTGGCAGGCGGCTGTGCATTGTATTTCATTTCTCTGTAATATTGTAGTCTTTACAGATTACCTTTACAATAATGTGTTATTGTACTATTTTAATAATAATGTAAATATATTTTATAGTGAAGTGTGCATTTTTTAAATCCTTGTATATATTTTAATGGTTTATCTCGAACCTTTGTTTTCATTCAGTATACAGCCGTTTCCTGTCTTTTAGTCACGTTTGATGCACATTTAGTCCATGTGCATGACCTCAGTGTTCGGTTGCTTGCTGCACACATTTATTATGTTTATTCTGACTCACTTGCCAAACGTTTGTCAATCTGCACTTTGTGGCTTTTTTTAGTCATTCTCATAGTTCTTATAAAGAAGTGAAAGTTTGATTAATAAAGAGTTGCACAATCATGTGATGTTTTCAGAGTTATTAAATGTGTTTTATACTGTTTATAGGAATAAATATGCACAAATTTGTGCATTACAACTTCAATTTAGTGTTGCCCAGTGAGAACTTTCCAGAAGCATACATAAGCGCATTGGTTTCAATATGCCAAGCCTTCGGTTTCTGCACCAGAACATCTTAATTTCTCAGAGAGAAAAGTGCATACTAAACTGCAGTCAGCAAAGCGGCATTTGCTATCAAATGTCAGGGTAACAGCATTAGTGTAGGTGTGAAGGCACCATTAAAAGCACGGTAAGCTAGGTTATTGCGACATGCAAGGAATCGGTGTGCGAATTTATGTCACCGCTTTTATTTCGATTTCTTAAGCTTGATAGATCTCGTTTGCCTACAACAATTTTTTTTGCATTCACTTAGTGACGCAACGTGTAGGTTGAGATTCAGAAGTTTGGAGACTATTAAAACATAGTAGCAGGGCTCTTTTATTAGGCTGCACTGAAATCAGTGCTGCCTAATACTTGTACTGTATCCCTTAAGAAATGCACAATCACAAAGGCAAACTAGTATTTATTGAATAAATCTTTCTTTAAGGCCTCCATTATTCAAGGAACTTCAGAAGAATATCAATCAGCTTTTCTTCTCTTTTAGCTGCTTCCTTCTGAAGCTTCAACTGTTCATTTTGTAGCTCGAGCTCTCGTGCTTTGAACTCTTGCCACATTCCTCTGAACATCTTTTGCTCTTTAACCATTTCCATGATTGCAGAATCGGGGCCAGCTCGTGTCCTTTTTTTTGATGCAGCTGGCTGTGCCGCAGTTGCTCCAGCTTCCGCTGGTGCCGATTCACTGCATTGCGGTTTTCCACGGCAGGTGCAGCTGTCTCCGCCGGTCCAGTTGCTGCAGTTTGATCTAAATTAGCAGTACTTGAGGCAACGGTGGCACTTGAAGATTCTGGAACTTCTGTCAGCAGCTGCATGTGGGCCTCACTGCCAAGAAGCTCGCTCAATTCATTCCCCGTTTCCATAGTGCGTATGATCTGCAAAAAGTTACATAAGTATTAACAGTAGTGTCACAAAGGCTGGACACATATTAGAGACACCATTCGTGGCAACTTGCACCTGTGCTCAGGGGAATGTACATGCTGACGAAGCAGTAGACAAATACACGTTTACGCACATAAAGCAATGCAAACACTGCAACTTTATGTGTGTGATGGTGTCCGTTTGTGCAATGCTTTTTGAAATCGTCGTGGCTCACCAAGTAACCCATCAGCACATATAAGGTAGATACCAACCTGTGAAATGGAGAGGCTTTCGCAGTTGCTTTCAACAGCAAGTGTAGCGTCATTTACCGGCAGACTCCCAAGGAACTGGTGTATTCGCCAATAAAATGACCACGCAACCGCACCAGAACCTGTAGTTCTTTTTTTTTTAGAATAATCTGTAATAAACGAAAGTGCAAGCTTAGTAGTAGCAGAGTCCTCTCTCGTAGTAGTGACAGAAGCAAGTCGAAACGATTATCTGGGCTTGTGTATGACACCACCTTAAGATACCAGGCTCTGAACAGTGGAATAGGTTGAACTGTTGTACATACTGTGTGTGATAATCAAATTCGATAACAGTATCCAATGGCAAGACGACTGCACCAACTTACACAGAGTTCATTCTTGGTAGTCGCACTATAAAGATAAAAAATCCTAGGTACACAAGGTATGTCTAGAGTTGATGTTTTCACAAGTGGACTTGTATTCTGTAGGATTTTAATTCCTGAGGACAAGTCCGTTTGTTAAAGTGTTGGCTTCAGGAACATGCTGTCTTCCAAGGGTTTTTCTTTTTTTTTTTTTTTCATTGCTTCAAAATTTTATCTCCGACTGAACTTGCCAATAATGGCACCTGAGAGAGGCCATGAGGACGAGCTATTAACTCATCTATAATGTTGCCCCGGAAAGGCAATACAATCAACGCGGGTGCAAATTTGTTTAAATTGACCACTAAATAGGCATAGCAAGTGTTTTTATGTGGGACACCTAGCCAAATCACACCGAAATGGTCGTAAGGGGCAGAGCTTTTTCGCGCCATTTTCCGCAAACATTTGGTTGGTTAGAAGTGTGGCAGCTTGGGCTAGTTGGTATGGCATGACGATAGTTATAACGCGAGAACAAAACGACGACACAGAGACAAGGACACTCCCTGTCTCTGTGTCGTCGTTTTGTTCTCGCGTTATAACTATCGTCATTTGATTGGTGGCAGCATTGACATGCACGGCGTAAGCTCCTCGGCAGTACACAGGCAGGATATTCAAGCCAAATGCTCACCTGTACTTGCTTCGCAGATTTTCGATCTTAGTATGTACTTGGGCTCGCGTCCTCACGATGCCGTACCTGGCCAGCGCTTCCGTAATGGCAGAGTAAATTTTGCCATTCTGCTTTTGTCCACGAAGGCCTGAGAGGTGTTCTTCCCAGATGATGATGATGATTCCACAGCCGTGGCTCGTACCCACTCAGGGGGATCGGCCAAGAATCGATGACTTAATTCAGTAAGATTTTTCGTCTCCTCTTCGGTCCAGCTCGCGCGCTCATTGGGACACGTCATCTCTTCTTTTATTTCTTCATCGTTTAAGCAGAGCGAAATGGCGCGTGCGGGTTGGCGGAAGATTGAAAAGCAAAGAATGAAAACTGATGAAAAAAGCAGAGAAAATTACGGAGGAAGGAAAATACCAGTGTTGCATGCTTGTTTGCCAAAGTTTCGCTAAAATTTACAAGCGTTTCATTATTAATACTTTATTTTTTTGTATAACGTTCAAAGCACCTTTTTAAAACTTTAGTGTAAATAAAAGACGGAAGATTTTATTTTCAGCCCAATATGATTTTTTTATATACTTTCAGGTAAATCGCATTTCGCGAGCTGTGTCGTCGAGAGTAGGCATTTCTCAGTCGACTGAGTTCCGGCGAAGGCATTTGGTGATCCCCCTTCAGCCGGCCGCTGTTCTATGCGACAGCAAGGCGGCCCTGCAGACCCTGGCCAACTCCCGCCGTGCCGGACTGACGGCCTGCCTCCTGAGAGCCAAGGTTCGCGCCCTCACCGACGCCGGGGTGTCCGTCTCCTTCCACTGGCTGCCCTCCCACGTGGGCATCGCTGGAAACGAGAAGGCGGACACCCTCGCCAAGGCTGCCCACCAGCCTGGTACTCCCTACTCCTGTGCCGTGGCGGCCAGGGACTATTCACAGGCCCGTCTCAAGAGGCTCCTCATCACAGTCCACCCAGACCCGAGGGTGGCCGGCGGGCGAGGACCAAAGCCTCTCCCAGAGACGGGCCTCACCAGGAGAGAACGGGCCTCCCTATTACGACTGCGGACTGGCTGCGTATGGACGGCGGCCCGCCGCCACGCCAAGGGCCTCTGTCCCTCCCCGGCCTGCAGCCGCTGCGGAGACCCAGAGACCCTCGAACACCTCCTCTGTGCCTGCCCTGGCTTAGCACGGGAACGCTTGAGGGCCTACGCGGCCTACAGGAGACAGGGTCTGCCCGTCTCCACCCTGAAACACCTGCTGTTCCCGTCTCGTCCACATCCAGCAGCACTCCGCAGCCTGGCGGAGTTTGTGGAGGAGTCGGGAATCGCCGCCTACCACTGATCCCAGGAGCCATGCTGCCCTTGCCCTTGCCGACGGCCTGCTGCTCGCACTGAAGCGGCCCGGACATCCCTCTCTACACTCCACCACTATTTCTCCTATCCTCTTTCATCCCCCTTTACCCCACCCAAAGGCACTGCGCCGTGTCGCCTGTAGGCAGACAGAAATTAGGTGCCTTCCTCCTTTTCCACATGAACCACTACCACCACCACCACCATTTGGTGGCGAATGGCACTCGGATTTTGTTCGCCCGTGTGGCACCGCGCGAATGGCAATAAATCTGAAGGCATTCGGGGGTAAATGCCATTTTTTCTGCCCGTGTGGCATGGGTATTAGTTTTCAGCGGGTACCACTCCGTTCCGTCTGAAGACTCTCGTATTGGAACACTGCAGATCTTTGTGTGCCTATAGTCGCGACAGTGATGGCCCGCAATAGATTCTGGCAGATGAAAAGGTTCTTTCATGTTGTTGACAACACTCAGTTGAACGCAGGCGAAAAAAATGGGCGAAATTCAGCCGTTTTACAACGAAATCTCCAAGTGTTTCCGCCAGTTTGGAGTGTTCAATGAAAGCCTCAGCATCAACGAGTCAATGGTGCCCTATTATGGCCACCACTCGTGCAAAATGTTTATTCGCAGTAAACCCATTCGATTTGGGTACAAAATATGAATGATGTGCTCTTCGAAATAGGTACCCCTATGCGATGGAAATATATTGTGGTAGGAACGAGAAAGACGACAAGACACCTCTCGGGATCAGGGTTGTTGGCAATACGGTATCGATCCTGGAAGCGCCTGAACAGCACGAAGTCTACTTTGACAACTTCTTCACTTCGCACGGCCTCTTGACGAAACTGGCTGACCAGGGGATTCGGGCGACAGGGACTGTGCGAGATACAAGAACCGGTGGTTGTCCACTGAAGAGCTTGAAAAAAATCGAAAAGGAAGAAAGAAGAGTTTTCCACTACAAGTGTGACGGGGCAGTCTACGCATGCATGTGGAATGACAATGCAGTCGTCACAGTTTCTTCTAACCACCTCAGCCGCGAGCCTGTTGGAAGTGCGAAACGCTTCTCACGACGCTCAAACAAAAAGGTGGACATTCCTCAACCATATTTGATCAAAATATACAATGAGGGCATGGGCGGAGTAGATGTGATGGACCGCCTCCTCGGAAGCTATCGACCGAGACTGAGGAGCAAGAAATGGTGGTGGAACCTTTTCAGCAATGGTTTGAACTTGGCTGTCGTCGCAGGATGGCTCCTCCACTGCGAGGTTCACAGGGGAAGTGATGCCGCCATGACGCACATCGCCTTTTGGCGGGACGTCACCCTGTCCTTGCTGCAGCTCAAGCAGAAACTCACTGCAAGACCTGGACCCCGGGTTCATCTGAGACATGAGGACAGAAAAACTGATGGCTACTACATCATCTCAACGACTCGGGGAAGGTGCGCGGAATGCTAGAAGAATACAATGAATCAGTGCCAGCAGTGCAAAAAGCGGCTGCACAAGAAATGCTTTGGCGCTTGCCACAGTTTGCGATTTGCTCACTGTAGTACAGCCAGTAGTATGAAAGAAGAAATTTTCGTAAAGTGTTGTTATAAATATTTATACTTTTCAGAGACATCGTATGACACTAAATATTATTCTTCAGTCATCCTGAATAAGGAAACCCGACTGAAAAGTCAATAAAAGTTGTTCCAAAGAAAATGTGTGTTTTGCATATGGGAAATGCCAACGTTCCAAAGATGGAACATGCGAAAAAACATGCTTAGTCATTGTGAATATGGCTGTATCTTTGATCATAGGTAATTTAGAAGGCCAATGCAAATTATCAACATAAATTTTAGTTTGTTTTTTACCGCTCCATAGTGCAGCGTTAAAAGTTTAACTTGTGCCACCAAGCCTATCACTTATGTTATCCACACACAATGCAGCAGGCAACCCATGAGGTTAGCAATCATACAAACTTGCAATTTTTCTTTAAAGCTTTGCAAACAGCAGCAATAAACTTCTTTGCCAAAGCGCTTGAAACTGGAATGAGCAACTGCCTCAATTTCTATTGGTGAGCTAGATACATTGATATCCAGAAACTTGGAAAGCCGCAGCACCTTCACTGAAACGGGTCGCCGACGCACATCTCCTGTTGACTTTATTTTTCTTTGTTGTTTTCCATGCACCTTTTATATATAAAATTGCACCAATTTACTGCTATTCTCGTGCTTTCATTCCATGCATACTCCAGTGCATTTGTGGTATTCACAATTGCTGCAAATACTGCGTAGCAAATTGTGCACGGTGCTATCTTTAAGCCAGCCCTCTTTTTATCGATATTTTGCCATTGCCTTACGAGCTATACAGAAGACTCTCAGTAAAGGGAACCTGAAAGTACCGGGAAAATATGTTCCATTCAACAGGAGTTCCGTTTACTGAGAGGTAAACCAAGCATTGCAGAGGCAATAGTTCCTTTAAGCAGTAGCTCCGTTTAACAGATTTCAGTCTACTGTACATCTTTCATATGAAAAGGCTGCTTGAATGGCTGTCTCAGTAAATATGTTTATTTACTATTTTTTCGTTCGAAATGTCTTCCCAAACAAAGCATCTGTTGTAATCTAGACCAACAAAGCAGAGTTTGAAGATTGAGTTGGCTTGGGTTTCATTACTATATAGGAATAGTGCACGGCACTAATAAATTGTTTTCTAATCCAGATGTATGTATGGTGTTACATACAAAATATATGCAATTAACTTTTCCAGGAACTATAGATTGCTATAGATTGCACGTAGCATGGTGCCACCTTCAATTCCATGACGTGCTGCCATTATTTGCCTTTCTCTAGTGCCTTTTATCTTAAGGCGCCATTGCCATGTCAAGTAATGCAGCTATTCCAAGTTGAAGCGTGTGATAACACCTATAGAAGGTAGTCAGCAAGTGCTGGTAAAGTACCTGTGTCCTAGTTTGCGTGTTGTCCAAATATGTTGTTGTCTTGATCTGACTTATCCTTGTATCAGTGCCACACACGTAAACATGTGAACTGTCTGTATCGAGAGACAATAAACTAGATATGTTGGAGAGGTTCTCGGCATGCTTATTTTTATGGTTAAAAAAGTTTTTATCTTATGTTTTCAGAAGTTCACCAATCATTATGAATTGAAGAAGTGTCAATTTTCTTGCACCCAATGAGACTGATTTGCTGTGCCACATTATCAGCTTGACGACACCTGGTACACTTATTGAATTATCTGTATTCGACTTAAATATACGTATTCAACTACCTATTATATATATATATATATATATATATATATATATATATATATATATATATATATATATATATATATATATATATATATATACGGCACAAATTAAATCATTCATTGCTATTATCAAAATTTGAAAGTTTACTTGTGCAAGGTTTATTGCATCAATTAACATTCATAAAAAAATAATGTTTATAATTGGGGCTCCTAGGGTTTGCGAACTGACGCCTGGAATGTTACATACAATATTGCTTCTCCCAGTCACTCTCCCGGCACAATATGCAGAGACGGAGAGGAGACTTTATGTATGTATTACGTTTCATTCGGAGATGAAATCTGGCTGAATCGCTGGAAAGGGCTTGCGATCAACCTAGACTTGAGAATAAGCAGGCCGTGGTGAAAATTTAGGGTTGAGAAAGCTTCAATGGAAAACACAGTTTCTAAGCTTAACACTTTGACATCTTGAAGGTTACACAACTTGACACATCTTGATAAAATATTACAATTGATCTCAATGTGTGGCACTTCAGGTTGTCTAGATTACTGAAGTGTAATGATGCATGCCCAGAACTTGCTTTGCCGAGGAAGGGTGTTGCCAGAAATTTTTTTTCGAGGGTTTCAACCATACCAAACACATTGAACCATGTTTGTGTCTATGTCTGTATGTGTGGATCTGTATATAACATGTGCAAAATTAAAAACTTTTGGGTGTTTTAAGCTCCTAACCACACCTTCCCACTTGGTACAGCACTGTTGTTGATATCGACCTTACCTGGCTCCTGCTCTCCCCCGCCCCCCTCGTGCTCCTTTCTACATGAAAGCCTCTTGGACAACCCCTGTTACTGATTCGTACTGGTGTCACTGCCGTTGGTTGTTTTATGAAAAATCGAAGTCGTCTGTGAGTGAAAATTTGAGATCTAGATGCAAATAAATACAGATAAACTTGCTTATAACGAACTTCCGTATTATGAATTTTTTGATAGAACAACGTTTTTATTTCCTAATGTGCATTTGCACGTGTATTTGCGACCTCTATGTAACAAAGTAACAGTGGGAGACATCCTTGACATAACAAATTTTCACCATGGATTCTAGGAATTTTACCCTGGACTTCGTAATTTTGGCCCGAGCATGCTTCTTCCGCGGTTGCCCCGCCGCGGACAAAGCGCGGGGCGGTGGGGACTCCCACACGAGAGCGAGCACTCATTATTGCATGTGTGGCGGGCAGGCAGGCCTGCATCAGTGATGTTCCGTGCAGGGAATTTTCCCTTTTTCAAGGAATTTTCGCCTGTCATTTTGGCCGAAGGGAAAAGGGGAATCTTTGTGATATTGCAGGGAATTTAAGGAATAGTTAAAATTCTCCTATGACCACCAATAATTAGCGGTCACAGCGTGCTTTCACCTGCTCTAGTAGGCTCTGGCACATGCACCACGCAAGCATAGCCTTGGAAATTTGTTTCTGATATTTACACGGAGCAAATTCTAGTTCACTATTGGCGTTAGACTTGAAGCCCACAATGTGCAATGTACTCACAGAATACAAAATAATAAAGTCATGCTTTTGGTGAGCGGCAGTGGAGGGGCTAGGCACGATTTCTAAAGTCGCCAGTACGTTAGACACGTGTAAGTATAGTAGGTGTGTGCGTGGATGGGTGAGAAAATAGTACTGTTATGTAGGAAAATATGCTGTAAATTTCATGAACGTTTGCAAGGAAAAATCCCCGAAGTAAGGAATTTCCGTGTCTCTGAATGGTAATTCTTTGACGTAGTACGGAAACACTGCAGGAGTCCTAGAACTTTTTCTAAACAGCAATAAATCTTGTGTCAACTTTGAAATTTTTTATCACAACAATGGTTTACCTTTTTGTGCCTGTCCGGACACGTGAAATGGCTAGTTTGACCTCCATCAACTCCCCCTGCCCCGAATCTTTTCTACTCAGCAAATAGGAAAGCTACACCTCTGAAAGCATCTATGATGCCACTGTAACGAAAGTCTGAGCAAGAGCATCACGTTTCTTTTCAGCCAATCCATGGTGTGCGACATAAAAAGAAATTATTTCAAAGAGACACGCAGGAGGATGTGTGTGACCAGTTAGTACTAAGATAAGTAACAAGTTATGTGACTGGGCCATTGGTGTGAATAGTACATGATGTATTGCATAACAGGCGCTTGTCTTCATTCGTCGCTCCTTTTCTCTTCTCTGTTGTGCAAAGTGCACATTGAAATGAATCGAGCTCTGTTGCTAATGTTGGCATCTGCAAAAAAGACTGACACGGTGACAGTGATTTCTTAAAATGGCAATGTACACTGGTGTTTTATTTTTTGAAATAGGTAAACATATGTGCTATGTACATGAATTTCCATCTGCACCTACACATGATGTCAGCATGCAGACTTCCTTCGCAAGATGACCTTTCCTTTCAGAAGCTGAGACAGATGAATCTTGACCTTGCCGCTGTCGCTTGTTTTCTTCACCCAAAACTGCGCAGTAGAAAGAAAGGAAGCAGTTGGAAGTTAGCATTCCATCCTTTAGTCTTACCGGCTATGCCGTTTCTTTTACAGTGATGCATTGTACCAGTTTAAGCACATGGTCAGTTAATTACAGCAAACGTTCGAGCAGAGCACGGGAATAAAAATAGTACTACCAAAAAAAATTAGAATGAAATATATACGTGCTACAATATAAAAAAACTACCACAAAACAAGCTAAGTTGTGCAGCCTATGCAGCATAGAAACTCTCAATGTTACTACACTTTAGCTGTTCATGTGCAGTAAAGCAATTTTTTTTCTTGAGCATCTAGGGCACAAATCAAAAGGTGTGCACTTCATGAACACTATGCTGGAGTATATATTTATTTTGCGCAAACTCTATACTGCTCCATCAAACTGCAGGTTGTGTTTATGTATAGTAATATATAGTATTCACAATAATTAGTTTATTCACAATTAATTTATTCACAATAATGTAGTCAAACCTCGTCATAGCGAAGTCATGTCCCTCCTCCTGAAAATGCCAACCATGCATCAACATACAGCGTAAAGTATGTAAAATAACATTCTCCTAGATATAAAACAATGCATTTTGTACTATGATTTCCCTAAACAAAGCTGTTGTTTCGGGGGAAGAGAGCACAATCCATGCTGTCTGAAGTCCTTAATGTCACATGAAAACTCGTTGCACTACTGCCAGTGTACGAGCTAAGGCGTATGCAGTGTTTTGGGCAATTAGTCGAAATTAAGTGATGCTAGACTATAGCACATCGTACGAGACAAGATAAAGTGAAAGAAATGACCAAAAACCAGCAGTGTGCCACTACTCACTTCTGACGTGCCCACCCCTGAGATGACACCGAAGAAACGGCCCATATCTTTCGAATCCACGCAAACGGATTGGCCCCTTTGGTAGCTGAAACAAAAAAACAGAGACTGCATTGCAGCTTCATGTTGCTGAATCGTGATTCGAGGTCTCACCATTTCCGCTCGTAAAACAATTTGCCGTCCTCTATTCGGGCTTCAATTGCGTGTGAGCCATGGTCCATGTTTCCGTATTCTTCACCTGCGAAAACAGGCAGAAAAAAAAAAGGCAAGATTAGACATGCTAGCCCAAAGGGACAACGCAGCTGAGAAGCTGCTTGATTTCACAACTCACAATCCAGTCTCTTGCTAAGCGATGGAGCCTTTCCCTGAAAGAAAGCATAAAAATCAACAATTTGTGACAAGCAAATCCCAATTGTGTCAACACTCTACTTTGCTGAACCATACTCCCCCCACCCCTGCCAAGAAGCAAGAAAATTTTGCAAACCCTTCAGCGTGCCACTTAAGAAACAAGGCTCACAAAAGAAAAGTAACTGCTACGGCATTGGTAGGATCACGACTTAGTTCTAGAATCACCTCTAGCATCTCTCACCACTGGTTGCCCCGGAGTATGCACATACTAATACAGATAACAGCA